GGTCCTTTGCATTACCATGTAAATTTCAAAATTAGTTTGTCAGTCTGTGCAAAATAAGCCTGCTAGGATTTTTATAAAAATTAAATTGAGGCCAGCCATGGTGACTCACGCCTGTAATCTGAACACTTTGATAGGCCAAGGCAGGTGGATCACCTGAAGTCAGGAGTTTGAAACCAGCCTGGCTAACATGGTGAAACCCTATCTCTACTAAAATTACAAAAATTAGCCAGGTGTGGTGGCATGTACCTGTAGTCCCAGCTACTCGGGAGGCTGAGGCAGGAGAACTGCTTGAACCTGGGAGGCAGAGGTTGCAGTGAGCCAAGATTGTGCCACTGTACAATTGCCTGGGTGACAAAGACTCCATCTCAAAAAAACAAACAAACAAAAAGAGAATTAGATTGAACTTATAAATCAGTTTGAGGAGAATTGCCATTTTAACAATACAATCCATGAACATTTATTTAGGTCTTTCTCTCAGCAGTATAGTTTTTGGTGGACAAGTCTTGCACATTTTTGTTTATTCCTAAATATTTTTGTTCTTTTCAGTATTATCATCAATAAAAGTTTAATTCCATTCTCAGATCATTTGTTGCTATTATATGAAAATACAATAGATTTTACAGTGATCTTGTATCCTCTGATTTTCTTAAGCTTGCTTATTATTCTAGTAAGTTTTTGCAGGTTTCTTGGGATTTTTTACATGCAATTTCATGTCATCTGCATATAAAAACAATTTATTTTAATTTTTCCTTTCCAATCTATATGATTTTTTCTTGCCTGTTACACTGGCTGTAACCTCCAGTAAACTACTGAATAGAGTTGTGAGTGCAGACATCCTTGTCTTGATTCCCATCCTGAGGGAAATCATTCAATTAAGTGTGATATTAACTTTAGGCTTCTTGTAGTGCTCTTTTCAGGTTGAGGGAGTTTCATTACATTCCTAGTTTTCTAAGTTTTAATCATGAATAGGTGCTGGATTGTCAAATATCTTTTCCATGCCTATCAATAATCATATGGCTTTTGTCCTTTATGAATATGATATATTGCAACGATTCTCAACTGGAGGTGATTTTGCTCCTTATGAGACATTTAACAATGTCTGGAGACATTTTTGCTTATCCAACTAGGAAGGTAGGTTCTATTGGTATCTGGTGGGTAGAGGTTGAGGATTCTGTTCAACATTCTAACTGCACAACAAAGAATTATTTAACCTAAAATGTCAGTAGTGCTGATATTGAGAAGTATTTCATGTGCACATGAAAATAATATTTATTCTGCTGTTGGGTAGAATGATCCCACATTTCAATGAGGTAAAGGTGTGCTGTTCAAGTCTTCTATATTCTTACTAATATTTGGTTTCCACATTCTATCTATTGAGAGGTGGTGTTGAAATCTCTGATTATAATGATTTGTATATTTCTTCTTGCAGTTTTGTCAGGAATCCTCTTGATGAATTGCCACCTTTATCATTTTTAAAGGACCATCTTTAACCCTGATATTCTTTGCTTTGAAGTATTTTTCTGACATTAATAGAGTCACTCCAGCTTTTTTTTGATTACTGTTAACATGGTGTATATTTATCCATTGTATTAGTTTTCTATTGCTGTGTAACAAATTACTCCCAAAACTTAGCAGCTCAAACACACATTAACTCGAGTTTCTGTTAAGGAGCCTGGATACTTCCTACTTTAATCAGGCTGCAATCAAGGTGTTAGCTGGGTTCTGGTGATCTCAAGACCCAGCTGGGGAAGGATCCATTTTCAAGTGCACATGGTTGTTAGCAGGATTCAGTTTCTGGCAGGTTGTTGAACTGAAGCCCTGAGTTCTTTGCTGGCTGTTAGCAAAAGGCTAGACTCAGCTCTATGTCACAGTAGAGGTTCCTTAATTCTGTGGGCTTTTGTCATAAATTTATCCCCATCCACTGGTAGCTCCTCCTCTGGCTTCCTAGCACTGTTAAGGGTGATTTTGGTTTTTGTATTTCTTGTCATTTCAGTAATACTGTGGGATCGGGGGAGGGTTACAGGTAAGAAAAGTAAAAGACTATGTCCAGTCCGTCATCTTGAACTGAAATTAATCTCTCCTTTTTGCACTGCACTTTTTTTTTGTTGAGGTAGAGTCTTGTTCTGTCGCCCAGGCTGGAGTGCAGTGGCACGATCTTGGCTCACTGCAACCTCCGCCTTCCAGGTTCAGGAGATTCTCTTGCCTCAGCCTCCTGAGTAGCTGGGATACAGGTGTGCACCACCATGCCCAGCTAGTTTTTGTAATTTTAGTAGAGACAGGGTTTCACCATGTTGACCAGGATGGTCTCAATCTCTTGACCTCGTGATCAGCCTGCCTCAGCCTCCCAAGTGCTGGGATTATAGGCATGAGCCACTGTGCCCAGCCTGCACTGCACTTTTCTTAAAAAATGAGCCCAGCCGGGCGCGGTGGCTCAAGCCTGTAATCCCAGCACTTTGGGAGGCCGAGGCGGGTGGATCACAAGGTCAAGAGATCGAGACCATCCTGGTCAACATGGTGAAACCCC